TCCCGGGCCCGGACACACGGACAGCAGCTGCTGCTGCTGCTCCAGGGAATATCCCTCTCCTTGCTTCTTCTCCTGCCCAGCGGCTGCCACAGCTCAGAGTGGGCCCTGCTCGGCCCCAGCCCGCTGGGGACACGAATGGTGGCTCCCATCCTGCCTGAGGTGAATTTGGGGTGAAACGCCCCGGGAACAGGCCCTGGGGCACAGTGAGGGCTGTGCTGGGCACGGGGAACACAGGCAGCCCTGGCACCCAAAGCCGCTGCTGCAGAGAGCTCCTGGTCACAGCTCCCAACAAAATCCACACTGGGAACAGCTCCACATCCCAGCAGCACCGCAGGCAGCCCCGGGCAGCTGGGAGCAGCTGGGAACGGGAACAAACAAACACCCTCAGGGCATGCAAAGGCCTCTGTGCACAGCTGCAGTGTGGGGCTGGGGTGTGCATGTACCGGGGCATGGGGAGCTCCTCTGCTGCCCGGGACAGTGCCAGGCAGACCCTGAGGGTGAGCTCTGCCCTGAGGGTGAGCCCTGCTGCCCGGGACAGTGCTAGGCAGTGCCCTGACCCTGAGGGATGGCCCAGCCCTGAGGGATGGCTGTGCCCTGAGAGGAGTCCTGCCCTGAGGGTGAGCCCTGCTGCCCGGGACAGTGCTAGGCAGTGCCCTGACCCTGAGGGATGGCCCAGCCCTGAGGGATGGCTCTGCTGCCAGGCCCAGGGAGGAGCAGGTCCTGCTGTGGGACATGCTGGAGGAGATGAGATGAGGGGAGAGCAGCTCTCCTGTGGAGGGCCGGGCTGTTGGGCCTGGAGAAGAGAAGGCCGTTCCCCCTTACCCTGTCACTCCAGGGCCTTGCCCAGAGTCGCTCCCTATCGTTCCTGTAGCTCCTTCAGGCACTGGAAGGCCTCAATGAAATCACCCCAAAGTTTCTCTTTTCCAGGCTGAATGATCCCAATTCTCCTTCTGCTGTGGTGTGTTTTGACCTTTCAATTTAGTCACAGATTCTGCGTATGTCGCAGGTGTAGTGTCTCGAGCTGAGTCAGCTGTTCTTCAAGAGATCACTAATAAGAGATTATTTGAATTGCTGAATAGGCTCGTCGAGTTAGTCTCTAACCGCGAGCATCCATTCTATGTCATGCATGTGAGATCACACATCCTTCCTTGCAGCAGAGCTGCTCCATCCCTCTGGTCACCTTGGTGGCCCCATCTGGACTGGCTCCAAGAGATGGATGCTCAGACCTCTCACCCATTTCCAGCCACACTGGATGGAGGGGAGAGGAGCAGCCCAGGGGCTGAGGATTGCTGGGGCTGCTGGGGATGTGACCAGTGCAGAGTTGTGGCACCACTCCTGCTGCAACAGGAAAATGTCCAGGACCAAATTTATCCCCTCCAACATAAACACCAGCTCTGCACCCAGGAGAGCCCCAAACACAGTCCCAATTTCCCTTGTGCTTGCTCTGCCAGGGCAGACCCCACATTTCCTGGGACCCTGGTGATGCTGGGAGAGTTCCCATGAGCACAACATTCCCCCATGGACCTCAGCACTCGCCAAACTGGTTCAGTGGGTTTGGATCCTTTGTCGTGCTGCTTCCCAAAGCAGGGCTCTTATCCTGAACCTGCTTCCCAAAGAACAGCTCTGCTTCCCAAAGCAGAGCTCAGCTCCTGAATCTGGCTTCCCAAAGCACGGCACAGCACAGGGACAGGCACAGGGCCAGGGCCACCCAGGGCCACTGCCAGCCCCAGAGCTGGCACCTCACTGGAGCTTGGCTGGCCAGCAGGAGATCAGCTCCCCTTCAGCTCTGCCTGCATTTGGTGACCTCCAACAGGGACCTTGCACCCTGCCTGGCAACCCCCGCTCCTTGCTGCTGCCCAGGATCCCTGGGGAGCTGGCACTGTCCCCTGGGCCTGTGGGGAGCTGGCACTGTCCCCTGGGCCTGCCCCTGTGCACCCCGTGCAGGACGGGCTGTGGGCACTGGGGTGTGATGGCACCTGGGAATGTCCCTGTGGGAGCAGCCACCACCCAGCCCCAGTCCCACAGAAACCCAGCTGGCAGCCTGGCACCAACATTTCCAGGAATTTGGGGGCACTGCTGCCCACACAGCAGCTCTCCAGAGCCAGCTTGGCACTAAAGGCCACTGCCAGGACAAGAAGCCAAGGATTTTCTTAAAGCAGGTTCTGCCCAGCAAAGGCCACGTGAATCCCCCTCAGGAAACAATCCACTCACCGAGGTACAGCCAAAATTTCAGCCCAGGCCGTTCCTGCTGTGTCTTCTCCTTGCCAAACCCCTCAGCTCTGGGGAGAGGGGACTCTCCCAGCCACTGCCTGACACGTCTGGCAGTGCCACTTGCAAACCTGCAGGAGCTCGGCTTGTTGGGGAGTTTTAGTGAATTTTACCTGATTTGAACCTCAGCCCAAAGCAGCAGCACTCAGGCCCTGCAGAGATCCTGCTTTGCCCCTTTCCTGGGTCTCACCCCGTGCTCCTGCCTCCAGCTGGGACAATCCCTTGTGGCCCAGCAGAGCCTCAGCTGGGGCAGCTTCACTGGACAAAAAACTACAGAAAATTCCAAGTTTGGGATTCACAGGGGCTGGGCATGTACAGGGCAGGAACAGGGATGTGGGAAAGGAGCAGGGATGTGGGAACAGGCTCCAAGAGGCCTGGAAAGAGCTGCTGCACAAAGAAAACACAGGAGGCAAAAAGGCAAAGACAAGAAGGTTTGTTTGAGAAGATGCAAAAGGATTTAAAACAGAGAATTGCCTGGTTTTGGCTAAAATCACCTCTTAGCTGTTCTTAAGGGAGCCTGAACGCCCCTGAGGCAGCACTGAGGGATGTCCAACACCCACTGCCAATTCCCAAGGGAATGCAGGGGCTCCAGGAGCTGCTGGCCCTTTACAGCTGGCCTTTATTAGCCCCAAAGACAGAGCATGAGAGTCCTTACAAAGGTAACGGGGTATGGGAGGAAGCACCGAGCTCTGCAGCGTTCAGGAGCTGAGGCTGATGAAGGTTTAAGCTGCTTTCAGCATCAGTTTTCAGGGTGACAGATGGAGGGAAGGGGGAAAGAAACCCCACCCCGTTCTCTGCCCGAGCCTCCCGAGGCTTTGGAGGCACCGTGCTGGCTTTCCAGGGAAGCTTTTCCATCTGACCCCATTGTTGGCCTTCTGCTCAGCTGTGAGTGGCCCCAGCAGGGATGGAGTGAGGGGAGCACACAGCTCTGGCACTCAGGGGGCTGCAGCCACGATGGTGGAACCCCAGATGGTTTGGGTTCAAGGGACCTCAAAGCCCACCCAGTGCCCACCTGCATGGCAGGGACACCTCCCACTGTCCCAGGTGCTCCAGCCTGGCCCTGGGCACTGCCAGGGATGCAGGGGCAGCCACAGCTGCTCTGGGAGCTTATCCTGGAAGCAGCAAGCAAAGACACAAAAAGCACCCAGCACCAGCCTGGGGTTCTGCCACCACAAGCAAGCAGCTCATCCATGTCCTGTGCAAGGAGAGGTGCAGGCAGTAACTTGGGGGTTTAGGACTTTATTCCCTGTGCCTACAGTTCTGAGTGTGGATCCTGTTGAGATCCCTCTCACACAGAACAAGGTGGGCAGGGACAGGGGGGTCTCCTCTGCGCCCCTCTGGGGTTTCAGCCATTCCCAGTCCCACAGCAGCCACCCCACACCCTGTGCACCAGGAGGGTGGGACAGGGAGCAGAGCAGAGCTGTGAACCAGGACTGCTGCCATGGCTGTGCTGCAGCTGAGTGACCTTGGAAAGGAGCAGCCTGAGCCAGGCCAGTGTCCAGCTGCTCTTTCTGGCCAGGAGGAGGAGTTAAACATTCCCATGGAGCAACAGCTGGATGGCAGAGTGGGACTGAGAGATCCTGCCCAGCCCGTGTGGTGCTGAGCTGGGGCTTCACCCCGGGGCTGGGCCACAGGGCAGTCTGGGGCACTCAGACCTTTCCTGACTCTCCAGCACCCCACATCCCCTTCCCAGAGTTCAACCCTTCCCAAGGCAATGGGAGAAAATTCTAACCATCACCTCTCATTTAGCATTTCATCATCTCCCCATTCAAGAGAGTCATCTCTGAGGGAAAACAGCAAATTCCAATTTTTTTTTAAACAAGAAAGAATTCCAAGTTTAATCCTCTTGGGAGCAAAAGGATTAACAGCAGATTTTAAGAAATAGGTTTCAAAAAAAAAAGCAAGTTAAAATTCCACATAAAGCACCCTCATTTCAGTATTTTTTGACGTGGATACAACAGAGTGAACCAGGAAGTTCCCAGGCACATGGAGCTTCCCAAGAGCAGCAGTTTTCACCTGCAAGTTGGTGTGAGGAAGATGGATTTAGGAGTTGGGGCTGAAGTGACCCCAAAACCAGCAGCGCAGCAGTTTGGGACTGCAGAACTTCCTCAGCTGGGGGGTCCAACACGGCTGAGGAAATTCTGCTTCCCCCATGGATAAATCCCACCTCCTGCCTTTCCTGGCAGATGGAGAAGTGCCCACAGCCACCCCCAGGGAAGAGGTGTCAGAGTCAGAGCAGCTTCTGGGATCCCGCACAGCCAGGATCTGCTCTGGCAGCGTTTCAGGATAAGAACAACTCACAGGCTCAGAGGCAGCAGCGACACCACTGAGAATCCTGGCATCACCCAACTGCTGGACCCCCTCAGCTCCCAAAACCTCTCCCTCCACCAAAACACCAACTCCTCCAGAAGCACCACAGACAGCCCATGAAATGAAACAGCCTGGAGCGAACGAGGTGAACGTGATGTTTATGAACAAGAAGCATTTTCCCTCAGATGGGCTCCCAGGGCTTCCTGTAGCACTGGCCCAGGTGGGAATCCTGAGCCATCGTGGGATATTTCCCATTTTCCTTCCCACAATGCTTCCCACAGAACCAAAACTGCATTGAGAAAAACAATAACCCCCCACTCCCCCCCAGCAGGTCGCCCTGGAGCAGAAACAAGGTTTAAGTACAATCCAGATGATCCAACCGCAGCGGTATTGGCTTCATTTGACTGTATTTAAATAAAATTAAGCATTTAAAAAATTAACAGGCACTACAATTCCCTGGCAGTGCTGACACCGAGCCCAGCCCCACGAGGCTGTCCCCGCCCTTCCTGGGCGATCTGGGGGTGTCACACAACACAAGAAGCCACAACATTTTCACGAAGCAACGTAACCAAAAGAATCCCAAGGCAGCTCCCAGCCGGAATCCGGCTCGCGGGGCCGAGGTCCAGGTGATCCCAGGGAGGGACAGCCCAGGGGGGTGGGAGCACAGGAACACGTGGCTGTCCCACTGCAGCCCCCAGGCTGGGCAGTCCTTGCAGGTCCCTGCAGCCCTCAGAGCTTCTTGAGCCGACTGTACATCTCCCTCTTGCTCTTCTCCCCGGCCCAGGTCCGGCTCTTGGTGCGGAACCGCTTCAGGTCCTCCTTGAAGTCCTTGTGGTGCATCGGGCGGTAGCTCTGGGGCTCGCAGAAGCTCTGGGGAAACAGGAGCTGGGGTCACCCCAGTGGCACCAGGGTGCTGATCCCTGATCCCAGCACCAGGAGCAAACAGGGACAGACCCCCCTTCCAGGCAGGAGCTGCGTGGCAGACACACAGAGCCCAGGGAGATTCAGGTTACAGCCATCAAAACAAGGGCTTTGTGTACAGGGCTCTCATCCCAAATTTCTTGGCACAGAACACACAGGCCGAGCTGGCTGAGAGTTCACCTTGCAAGGCACAGACTGGGAGGATGTTCTGGCTCAGATGGTCAGAGCAGGGTGGCTGATCACGGCAAGGTCGTGCATTTAGGGAACAATGATCACTGCGGGTCCCCTCCAGCCCCAGCACTCCATGATCCGCGTGCCTGGGGCCAGCTCCCGGCTCCCCCGGAGCTGCCCTTGGCTGTCCCGTGCTGCCACCTTGAGGCCTCGCTGCCCTCTCCTCAGGACAGCCCCGAGTCCACGGGGACACCCCAAAGCCCGGGGGTCCCTCAGCCCAGGGGGGGCAGCAGATCTCAGGGAGAGCCAAATCCCGGGCAGCACTGGCTGCCATCGACTGCAGGGCTGGGAGAGCCAACATCCCACAGGGAAGGAGCTGACAGCCCCACGGACAGGCCAGGCATCTCCCACCTCCCAGGGATGAGGAGCTGAGGCCTGTTTGTGTCACAGCACCAGGACAGATCCCAGGAGCACTGGGACCATGGAAATGCTGCAGGAGCCAAGGACAGGAGAAATCCCAGCCCCGAGGTGCTGGGAAGAGCTGGGGGTGGTTATTAGTTTCCTTGTCTAAATTAGAGACTGCAAACTCCAAGCTCAGGTTTTCAATTTTGCTGGTTTAGGACTGTACAAGATCTCAGGTTTCCATTTATTATCCAGCAATTACTGTCAAGCCTTGTCTTCCCTCCTGCTCTGAGCAGGCTGAAATCCTTTCTCTGAGTGACAGTTTGTTCTAAAGGGGCAGAAACCACTTCTATTTTACTTGAGACAAGTGGAAAAGCCCTTCAGCTATGGCAGGAAGACAGCTCCAAGACACGGAACAGGCTGAGCTGCTCTGGGACCAGCCCAATGAAAGAGAGAGAGGAGGAAAAGCCCCCCAGCCAAACCACTCTGCCCCAAGGAGAAGTTTGAGTAGGAAGAAATTAGCATTATTTATCTGTGTGTGATAGAGACCATAGAAAGGCTTGGGTTGGAGGGACCTAAAAGATTTTGTTCCACACTGTGCCATGGGCAGGGACACATTCCAGTGTCCCAGGCTGCTCCAGGTCCCTTCCCACCTGGCCTTGGACACTGCCAGGGATGAGGAATCCACGTTACCCACCTGGCACCTCGAGAAGAAATCCTTGTAGCCCCCCTTGAGCACATAGAGCTCTGGGTAGTGCAGGTTGGGGTACTCATTGCTCAGCCTGTCCTGCTCCCTCACAAACCGGCACCTGCAGGGGGAAAATCCCGTGTTAAATCCCACATTGACCCAGTAACTCCCAAAACTGCATCCCAAACCCTTGAAGGAGGAGCTGGAGCTGCCCATCAGGGAGAGCCTGAGCATCCCCACAGCTCAGAGGCTTTTCCTTCCCCACTGAACACTGCAGTGCTCCAGCCCAGACCCAGCACAGCTCCTGAGCCCCCAGGCTGTGCCAGCCCCTGCCAGAGGTGCCAACCACCCCGGGCACAGCAAGTGGAGCCAGCCCAGCCCCTCCCAGTGCTCCCAGTGCAGTGGGAGCCCTGCCAGGAGAGGAGCTCACATGCGCGGGCCCCGCTCCGAGGAGAACTCGCAGTGGAACACCACGATGAC